CCCTAAGGTATACCCTAAACCCTAAAGGTTGAGGGTTTACGTACGACTTCAGGATTTGGGGGGTGCTAAAGGAGTTGAAAGCCCAGAGCCCTAAACCCAAAGCCCCCAGGACCAAGCCATAACTCACCAAATCCCAGCGCCTCAGGGTTTAGGGTTTAGGATTTAGAGTTTAGGGTTTAGGGTTTAGGTTTTAGGGTTCAGGGTGGCTCCTAGCAATCCCCACTTACAGTACCGGTATGCAAGTGGTAACTGCTTCGAGTAGCAGCAATCCAACATGGATTGGAATCGCCAGTGGCAGCAAGGACAACCATACTATCCAATGCAATGCTCGCAGGAAAACTGAGTATCACACTGGAGTTGTGAGTCGCGGACTGAGTAGGACCAGCAATCGCAGTATTGATAGAATCTGTATTGGCAAGGCATGCAGAAGCGGCAGTGGCTTTGGATACAGTTGGCAATGTCGACAGCCCTTAGAATTGATGCATCGGTTGTCTCAGGCATGGTCAGCCTTCTAGAACTCTTAAAATTTCAGGCGCTAGGTCACTATGGTAGTGCCATCGATGTACCATGCTGCGGCCTGGCAGGAAGAGTGAAAAGATTCAGCAGCAACCCAAGATGCACGTGCGATCCGATGACAGCTCGCTTCGGCCGGGCTTCTGGTTTCAAATCTTAGGGCTTCAGTCGAGGGCTTAGAGAGCGCTGCGGGGCTTTGGCGTAGGACCTCAGGTCGTGACATCTAAACTGGCAGTTTGCTGGCCGGGCGATGCCACATGTGCTGCTGTGAATTCTTTTGGAGACGGTGATCCTTGAAAGTCGGTTCTTAGAGTCTGAGACTCTTCTTGCGAAGTCATCCACACGCAAACTCAACTGCCACGCGGTGTTGGAGCATGTATATCTTAGCCTACCAAACCCCACTTTTTTGTAGGTTCTTATTATAAACCCTAATATCGAATTTATAGGGACCCTACAAAAAAGTAGGTTTTGGTAGGTTAAGGTAGAGACCTGACAGCCCTCTTTCTGCATTTACGCATCCCTCGTGGGCTTTTTCTCGACCCCCACTATGCTGAAATGTTGGTTTTTGTTAAGTGGTTGTTATTGGTGATACCACCAGTAACTAGTACTGGCAGTACAACCACTACTAGTGATAGTACTAGTACGACCACAGCGACGACAACGACTGCTGCTAACACTAGTACTGTTTTACTACTAACTGTCTTCGCAGCTCGCACACCAAGGTGTCGTTGGTTCTGAGAGGCGAGAAGCACGCGCCGATCGCAAAAAAGATGGTCGGTTTCGATGTCCTAATGTTGAGGGACTGCTTTGGGATCCTTATATGACACATCCTGCGATGGCGGAGATTCTATTTCGCGGCTCCTTTCTGGGGTCTTTATGCGGCTCTTTCTATGGGTCCTAATCTTTTGGGGGTTGTAGGACCCGGGTTGCTCCCTGGGGTTCCTACATGATGATCCCCGGCCCGAACTACATCAAACAAAGCCTTCACTTGCATAACATAGGGGCCTAAATCACTACCACTCTTATTATTCGGGTTCCTTATTATAAATATACTATTGTTAGGGTTCCTTAGTATAAATGTACTATTGTTAGGGTTCCTTACTATACATATACTATACACGTACCCAAAACCCTATTCTAAACTTAAAAGGAATCCTACATTATGAACCCGGAGAGCCTGTGCGAGCTTCGTATGTCAGATCTAATCTAAGGGCCTTATAATAATTATATTGAAGGCTTTGGGGCCCAATATACTATGAGTATNNAAAAAAAAAAAAAAAAAAAAAGGTATGAATTAGATTGCAGCCCCACAACTAGTATGAATTACATTGCAGAATGCCCAGAACTTGTCAGATAAGTCCGGTATGACTATGCTTACAGCAAGTAGCTGTCCTCGCGAGAAAGCAGCCTCGGGCCGCTAAAATGACTGACTACCGGAATCTGACTGCATGGGTAAATTTCAGTGCTGCAATGTCCGATGTGGCTATTCCGAGATCTGAAACTGCGTTAGGATGGAAAGATACGACTCAAACTGACCGCGTGGGATGAGATCCGAGTAGTAGTACTGGTGGTAGCAGCAGCAGCAGCAGCAGCAGCAGCAGCAGCAGCAGCAGCAGCAGTGGTAGTCGGCGTTGTCGTAGTTCGAAGCTCTGGTTGTGATGATTGTTGTTGCTGGTGTTGGCTGTTGTCAACCTTAGTAGCGAGAGCGCGGAGGGAACATCAGAGTCGAAGTGACGGGAGTGACATGCACCGCAACATGAATATGCACAGTAGAAGGCCAAACTTGACGGCCCTGCAGTATTTGATTGTCGCTGCAGTGCTTCGTTTATGGGCTCCGGTGCATGTTCATAGGCAGAAACCGTTGCGCACAGCATGCAGAAAGGCTCTACATCGACCTTGCATGTTATTGTCCGGGGGTCCCATGAATCGGCTACCGCGGAAGCCCAGCCCTAAACCGTACGCCCTCCCACAGAGTCCTAGGTATCGTGATGGGGGATACTTTCCCAAATCAGAATAACAGTTCCTACTGTAGAAACCCTACATGTAACCGTATAGGTACTGTGGGCCCTTTTGGGCTGAACACTAAAAAGCTCAAAAGTGCGGCGATTTACAACAGACCATCCACTACTGCACATTCCGTCGCATCCCCCACATGCGCCATGGCTCCTGCTGCGATGGCCTATAAGGTGATCGGCTACCCTCATCTAAGCATGGGCCTAGCTCCATGGCTGCAGCTGACAGCAGTACAGAAGTCCCCTAATCCCTAAACCCTAAACCCTAATAATTTTGGCAAGCAACCTGTTGGTCGATCTGCTGGTCGTGCAATGTTGTTTACAACGGCAGTTTCTGCTCCGCGACGCACTCACGTTGAGGGTCACCGTCATGTGCAAGTTAGGGGGCGGTCCGATGTTCAGAGGAGGAAGAAATGCAGTACTCAGAATAGTTTGCTTCTTTACGGAGGGGGAGGGGGAGGGGCGGCACATGGGTGGCACATCAAGGTCTAAGTGTATAAGGGGCCTGCCGCCCGCCTTATTACGTTTTAAACTTCTAAATTCGTGAGATGGTGTCTAGCTAAATCCCCCAAAAGTGTGTGTGTGTGTG